CGTCTCCTTGATTACCGTCGCACTACACACTTAATTTAAAATACAAAATCTCCTTTTTTTATTTAACCAATCAGATCACTTTTAAATTTTACATTTTTAATTTAAATTTTCCAATATTATTTAATTCTCAATTCCCTATCTAATGCCCTTATTTTATAACCACTTTCATAGATTTAGACTAATATTCCTCTAAAATTCATAATCTACTTATAAATTGTCATCAAATTAACTTCCACTGTCATCTAGACATTAATATCTTTTTATCCCAATACTGACATTTAAACCTTTGAATTATTGATTCTTCTCAAATTCCCCAAATTTGTTTTGAAATTTTGAAACACCCTGTATTTTTGAAATTGCAAAACAAATTTTTACAGATTCCTGTTTTATCGACATTTGACTTTATCCGTCTGCCTGATTAACTGTCATCGTTTTGTGTGTTATAGGTTATGTGTTTTAGTGAAATTTATATATGTGACTGATGTGAAAAACCCCTCGAATCTTTCCTGTACATGGATTTATTAATTCATAACTATTCACACCATTAGAATTATTTACTACATATGGTCCCTCATAAGGTAAGATTAATTTAGCACACCTTCCTCGTCGCACATTAGGTACTCGTAAAGCTTTTACTATTACTACATCCCCTTGATTAAAAGTTACATTTGTTTTATTACGATTCTGTATTCTTTTAATATATTTGCATGCCGATTTTTCCAATTTACTATTTACATTGTTAATTAACTCATTATATTTTATAGATTTCTGCAATATCCAAGGTCTGTCCGGAGGTCTACCACAAAATAAGGTTATAGGAGCCTGTCCTGTTGAAGTATTTGGTATATTATTAATAAAATACTCTACGTCACTCAGTCTCCGGTCCCATTGTTGTTGGTCGTCGTGTACTAGTATACGTAAGTATTTAATAATTTCTTTTATATATCGTTCAGATGGATTTGCTGCTGGATGTCTAATGCTAGTATATTTTACCTTTATGTCATTTTGTCTCATGTATGTCTGAAATTGTTTGTTTGTAAAATATGTAGCGTTGTCCATTATACAATATGTTGGTTTTCCATAGTCTCGTATATAGTTTTGTAGGATTGATTTTACTGTTCGTGTATTTGTACGTGTGCATGCATAAGTCTTGGTAAATTTTGAAAAAATGTCTACTACAACTAAAATATGTTTATGTCCTTCATATGTATTTGTTAAATTTGAAATAAAATCTATTGCTATTGTTTCCAACGCTTTTCTTGCCCGAATCGTTTTGGGTGTACCTGTATTATGTTGATTCTTTTCTTTACCTAATTGACATATCTCACACTGTTGTATAATATGTTTCGTTATTGTCTTGTCATGTTTTGTGTAATACGTTTCTCGGAATATTTTCCATGTTTTATATACCCCAATATGTCCATAATGTGTATGTATTTCTTTCAATATTTCTGTTGCTAACTTTTCGGTTATTAAATAAAATTCATCATCGTCTATTATTTTTAAGTAAATGTCATCACGTAATATTGCTTTCCTTGTTTCTTCCTGTGTTAATGTTTGTTGATTTTGTCTTATTGTCTGTAGTGAAAATAGTCCTGCTGCATTTCTTAACATGTTTACTCCGATTTTAATTTGTCTGTCATTCTGTATTTTCTCTTGTTTATCCATTCTAGTTAATGCATCAGCCAAAATATTGTTTTTCCCTGGAATGTAAATTATGTCATAGTCGTATTCTTGAAGTAAAAGTGCCCATCTATGTATCCTATTGTTTCCGAATTTATTATTAAGTATAGATGTCAGTGCCTGGTTGTCTGTATATATCTTGAATTTATTTCCCAATAAATAAAACCTCAATTTCGAAATGCAAAATATGATACTTGACAACTCAAGTTCTCCTACACTGTAATTACGTTCATGCATCTTGGTCACTCGTGAAATAAAAGAAATAGGTACGTCTTTATCATTTTGTCTCTGTAATAATACCCCTGCGAATCGATATTTGGATGCGTCCGTCTGTAATATGAAAGGTTTTGTATAAATTGGGTGGAAAATTTTCAGTTGTGTCAAAAATATGTCCTTTATTCGTCTGAAAGCATTGTCTTGTTCTGTTCCCCAACTCCATCTGACTCCTTTCTTTAATAATTTTAGCAAAGGTAATTCCAAATTAGAATAATCCGGTATGAGACGTTTAAAATAATTTACTAAACCCAAAAAACCTCTTAATGTTTTTAAATTGTGTGGAATTATATAATTTTGAATTGCTTCTACTCTATCCTCATCCATTTCAATTCCTGTTGAATTGATTCTATATCCTAAATATATTACTTCTGTTTTAAAAAATTGGCATTTCTTTAAATTAATCTTTAACCCTGCTTGGTCCAGTTCATTCAAAACTATTTTAAGGTGTTTCAAGTGTTGTTCTTCATTTTGTGAATAAATTAGAATGTCATCAATATAATGTGTTACAAATGCATCATATTTATTTAAAATTTGATGAAGTGCTCTTACAAGTGAAGCACAAGCAGACTGCAGACCAAATGGTACAACATTGAAGTGAAATACTTCGCCATCAATCATGAATCCCGTATATTTTCTACTATTTTCATGTAGAGGTATTAACCAAAAGCTGTGTTTTAAATCTATTTTCGAAAATAATCTGGGTTTTGTTATTCTTCCAAATATGGCATCTATCGCTAACGGAGCCTCGTACTGTGGAACAGTATATTTATTGATATTCCGGGCATCTAAACATAAACGTATATCTCCATCTTTCTTTTTCACAATTACTAGTGGATTAATGTACTGTGTATTACTTCGTGATATAATTTTATTTTTTAATAAATTTGTTATTTCTCTTTGTACCTCATTCTTGTAACGATATGGAATTGGGTATGTCTTAACCCTGAAATTATCTAAATTTTTAACTTCCAGTCTATGGACGAAATTAGTAGCAACTCGCGTTTCTTTCTTAATCAACTTTTCATACATACTTAATAACTCTATTACATTATTTTTATTTTTATTATCACAATCTATTTGCATAATATTCATTTTAATATCTTCTTCATTTTCCTTTTCATCAACCATATTCCTCATCAACTTACTTTCATATTCATTATATAATTCATAATTATTATTATTTACACTTTCTTTTATCTCACATATCATCCTACAATCATCCATATCATCATTCTCACTCATTGCTTCTAATTTCATTTCCTTATTTTTTTCTTCATTATTAAACTTTATAATATTTCCCTTTATATTTATTATTTCATTTCCATAATCTATAATTGCCTTATTTTTTTCCAATTCATCGTTACCCAATATTACATCACATTCAAGACTTGGTACTACTAATAATGATACTACTACATTTAATCCATTTAGATCGATAGAGATATTTACCATTTTGTTTGCCTCGTATAATCTTTTACTATTTACTCCTATTAGATTTATCTTTGGAATTTTAACAATTTTATCTTTTAACCCTATATTATCTTTGATAAATTCTTCTTTTATTAATGAAGCCTCGGATCCTGTNTGGTTTTATCAGTAACTTGGTCCTATTAAATTACCAAATCGATGACAACTGTTATTTAGACTTTCACATGTATCTGATGTGCTTTACGAAGCACCACCGCACTTCAGTTGCAATGTAAGAGAACATTTAAATGATCTGTATCCTGACAGATGGGTAGCTAGGATCCAATTCACTGGCCAGTTGGCCACCAAGTTCACCTGACTTAAATACCTGTGATTTTTTTTACTTGGTAGGGCTTAAACAGAGAGGGAACTCTGCGAGTATTAATAGCGAGGGGCAACTGTATGACAAGATTGAAGATGGTGTTCATAATTTTCAGAATGAAGGAATACCGAGAGTGCATTTTAATTTTTTGTGTAGAATTAATTTATGTATAGTGAAATCGGTGGTCATTTAAACCGTTCTTATGAGACAACAGTCTATTATAAGTCGTTTTGCTTTTGTTATCAAATAAATTACTTATCAAATGTAATTATTTAAGTTTGAATTACCTATTATAAAAAAATTCACCTAGAACTATTAGAAATACAAAACATTTACAAGAGCTAACATTTTTTAATGAATCCTTCATCTTTAACGCACGACCCCGGAGAAGATTATGAGCAGATTAGGTCAAGGAAGGGCGTATTTTTCACAATTCTGTTAATCCACTGCCTCACTTTACTATGCGTACTAAATTTCAACGGAATCTTACGAGGCGCTCCAAAGGCAATTTATTTTGCTAAACTTTGATGCCCAATAGCAACTTAGGATAGAGGTATATAGTACGATCATATTCGATGCAAAGTAATAAATCATTGCCTGTCAAGGGAACCAATGAAGTACGCCTTTAAGGGTTTTACAAATTGAATAATTTCTTTATACGTTATGAAGGGACGAGGGGATCAGTCCAGGGCGCCTATTCTCCAAACCATGCGATAGTACGGTCGCATGCGATTGACAGATTTATCGTGTACGAACACTTGTAATTGAGAAAGTCGCATTCTTGAACGCACACGTGGCTTCGAATACGATTTGGCTACCGCATGCGATGCATCGAGTGGGTCTGGCCATTCGTTGTATCGTTCGCGTCGGTTTTCGAACCTATAAAGGCTGCCTATAGAAGAGCAATAATCAGTTACTCTTTTGCGTGCTAAGTAAATTGACGTGTCAAAAAAAGTAAGTTCAATTTATGAAGATATTCCATGATCTTATAGCTATTTAAAATGGATTTAGACGAAATAGCGGCCTTTCAGGCAATTCAGAATTTAGAGCAGGTTGAAATTAATGGGGCTCGTCCACGAAGAACATTTTTGCCAAAAACAAATCCGTTCGAAAAACTGACAGATGAAGCATTTATTAAAATGTTTCGTTTCAATAAAAATATGGCAATACAATTAATTAATAGTGTTTCAAACTTTATTGAGCCGAGTTCCAGAAGTTCAGCGATTGATGTGGATTTGAAGGTGAGCTTATTTTTTTACAATGATTGTAGGCTATAACAATTACGACTTGTATTTCATAGGTACTAATAGCACTAAGATTTTATGCAGCAGGCAGTTATCAGTTTGATACAGCCTCAAATGTTTACTGTGCTGTAAGTCAAGCATCTGCAAGCAGAGCCATAAATGAAGTCACCAATGCCCTAAATCGACCTGAAATTTTTAACAGATGGGTTAAGTATCCTTCTACTGTGGAAGAGTTAAGAGCTATACGAAATAAGTAGGTATTTTAAAATTATTAACGAGTTAAAGAGCAGTTATTTTAATTGAATCCTTACAGATTTTACCAAAAACACGGTTTCCCAGGTGTGGTGGGGTGTGTTGATTGCACACACGTAGCAATAGTTCCCCCATTAAAAGAAGATCCTTTGTACCCGGAATATATTTATGTCAACAGAAAACACTATCATTCTATTAATACTCAGTTGGTGAGTTCATTGTTACAAAAAAAAAAACATACATACTTGCATTATTCTTTGTAGATGTTCTTCGGAAAGCTGTAAATGTATAATAAAATTATTGATTTATTCCACCAAAAATTTAAGAGAAAATTCAATTATAATTTTTAGATTTGTGACTCCGACTTAAGAATCTTGAATGTAAATGCTAGATATCCCGGGAGCACTCACGATTCCTTCATTTGGAACAATAGCCGTGTTAAAACTGTAATGGAAAACATATATAGAGGGGATCTAAGAGGCTTTTATTTATTAGGTGAGTCGCTTGAGGTTTTATTTTTGCCTTTAATTTAATACACTAATAACTATTGAAGTGGCTTTATTTTTATTTTTTAGGTGATAGTGGATATGCTTTACGACCATGGCTCCTTACACCACTAGAAAATGAGCCCGATCATGATACTCCAGAGGGTAGATTTAACATTGCACATAAGTCTTCGAGAGCAGTTATAGAAAGGTGTAATGGAGTATTAAAAATGAGATTTAGATGTTTATTAAAACACAGAGTGCTTCATTACACACCTGAAGTGGCATCTAAAATAATTAATGCATGTGTGGTTCTACATAACATTTGCATTCACAACAATCTTCCTGATCCTGAACCGCAAGAAGGTGATGAATATATAGATTTTGGAATGTATGAAAATCTGTATAATCTTAATATGGAAGATATTCCTAATCCTGCTATTCGAGCAAGAATAAATGTCGATTTAGAAGAAGGAATGGCTCTGCGGCGAAGATTAATTGCAAATTATTTCAATTAGATGTTTAAAGTAGTATGTATTCTACGAATAAAATTATTTCTTCAAAAATTCAAACTTTATTATTGTAATTGAGCAGTCCATCTTTTAAGATATAAA